AGTGGTAATAGTTACCTCCTGTAAGTTTGAAGTCGGTTCAAACTAAATTATCTGCCCCTAAGCCTGTCGCGACGTGGGATCGTTCGCTTCACTGCGCGCGGCAAGAGAGAGGCGAGCTACGCGTCGCTCGTTTTTTTTCTAATGGCTCGCAGAGGAGAATTATATATATAGATTATATAGCGGTCTAAAATGCTCAATAAAATGTTTCCATTGATCAATTTAGTAATAATAACAATTGAGTATTCTATGGTCATCCAAAAGAAAGCTTCCCTGAAAATTTCAGCGCGCTAGCTAACTGGGAAGTGCCAGAAATTTCGATCGCAAGATTTGATTGGAAAGACAGAGAAAGCAAGTTAAAGAAAACGTGGGAAAAAAGTTCTCGTTTCTAGAAAAGTGTCTCCAACTTACGCCTAGGCTAGGCGAGGCTATGACTATGGATGGAAGCAACTTTTCAAGCTAATTTTATATAATGTCAAGCTCAACTAGAGAGGGTGGTAGATATTATTCTACATGTTGACCAATAACGGTTCACGTTTTGTGTAAGGAAGGTGTGTACTCAGTTTTATTCAAATCCCAGCATTATGGATGCTCAGTTTTATTCAAATCTCAGCATTGTTCGTGCTCAGTTTTATTCAAATCCCAGCATTGTTTGAGCTCAGTTGTATTCAAATCCCAGCATTGTTGGTGCTCAGTTTTATTCAAATCCCAGCATTGTGTATGTCACCAAAGTAGACTCCACCGGTGCCACAAATATTTGAGCAGACTACAAAGTACAAATAAGTTGTTCAAATACAAATTCTAGAGAATATAAAAAAATCAATTATCTTATTGATCTATAAAACAAGTTTAGTTGAATAGAACAATGTGGGGGGGGGGGGGGGGGTCTGTGACTAGTACATACTGGCAACACCAGGCACAATGCTCATTAATTATGGAAACAGACCGGCGCAAAAAACTTCTCTGCCCGGTGTTAATTAACAAATGTGGTGTCCCCCCCCCCCACCCTGACCCAGGTGGGGTAAGTATTGATGGGGAAACCTTTGATAGCCCCTGCCTGGATCTTTGATGTGGGCTTTGGGGGCTTAGGTGGGTGGGGTTGTTTTATAAGGGGTGGACTCGGTGGTGGTGGAGATGACAAAACAGGTCAGGTTGGTGTGGAGCTGACTACAAGTGGTACATCACATCAGTGGTTTATATCTTGACCATACCACCACTGGTGCAGGACCATACCACCACTGGTGCAGATCTTTGCCATACCACCACTGGTGCAGGTCTTGGCCATACCACCACTGGTGCAGGTCTTGGCCATACCACCACTGGTGCAGATCTTGGCCATACCACCACTGGTGCAGATCTTGGCCATACCACCACTGGAGCAGATCTTGGCCATACCACCACTGGTGCAGGTCTTGTCCATACCACCACTGGTGCAGGTCTTGGCCATACCACCACTGGTGCAGATCTTGGCCATACCACCACTGGTGCAGGTCTTGTCCATACCACCACTGGTGCAGGTCTTGACCATACCACCACTGGTGCAGGTCTGGGCCATACCACCACTGGTGCAGATCTTGGCCATACCACCACTGGTGCAGATCTTGGCCATACCACCACTGGAGCAGATCTTGGCCATACCACCACTGGAGCAGATCTTGGCCATACCACCACTGGTGCAGGTCTTGGCCATACCACCACTGGTGCAGGTCTTGGCCATACCACCACTGGTGCAGATCTTGGCCATACCACCACTGGTGCAGATCTTGGCCATACCACCACTGGTGCAGGTCTTGGCCATACCACCACTGGTGCAGGTCTTGGCCATACCACCACTGGTGCAGGTCTTGGCCATACCACCTTTGGTGCAGGTCTTGGCCATACCACAGTAATTCATGATAACAACAAGCTGTCTTTATTTATACACGCTATACATGTTACATGTTGACAATATATTATTTCTTTATACAATCTACATATTTCTATTTTTTCAAATATAAAAAACAACTCCGATAAGCACTGGATTAACTTTACTTGACCCTTCACAAACCAAACGACCTCATCCTACACAAGCTAAATTGTCCAGCAGAAGTTACGCCACACCCTATTCTTCTTCTTCGTTCTCAATTCTACTGTCGGAAGAGATTCCCTCCAACACAATTAAGGATACCCGTCAACTGGTTATGCGCCATATAGGCCTTTTATTCTGATTTCAGCCTGCTTTTCTTTTTGGATTTGCTTTCCATAGCCTTTGTCCAACCAAGAACAAACTACAAGGCAGCAGTTGTTTGATTTTGGAGTTGTCTCTCCTAGAAGAGTGGCTGCCCCCAGCTATCAAAGCCCCATCTTGCCCGAGGGCACGTACTCAAGACTTTTTGATTTAGCAGCCATAAGCTGTACCGGATCGACCACGCCGACTATTGTCGTGTATCATCTAAAAATGCCCAGTTTTAACTAAAATTAAGCAATCAGAGCTAAATATCTCCCCCCCCCACCCTCACCTTTTCCCACAGAACTTGGACTTAACTAGCCAATGACCAGAACAGGTCAACACACGTCATGATCACACAACACAAGAAAGTAAACCCTTAAATTTTTGTAAACATTCTTTAATTCAACGCCATCTCAAGAAGTGGGTATTGACCCCACGAGTATTAAAAAATATGAACCGAAGATTTGATGAATTTAATTCACAACCGCATGAATGATATACGTATGCAAACTAGTCAAAGTTTTACAGTAGTTTACATTGTTTAGACAGTTCTAATTGTCTTTTTTGTATAATTAATTAGAAAACAATATAAGGGGGAGTGATTAGGGTGGTATTGAAACTTTGTTTACTTTAGAATATAATATAAAGCTAACTATCGGAAATTCAATCATTATCAGTAATATTGCTGAACTATACTAGAATAAATTGAAAGAAAAGAAAATTCTTAAATTCGAAATGTCAATCAAAATGTTTACTGTAAAACCTTAACTTTTTGAACACATACAGACACGTTTACATCAATTTCATTGCAAACAATTTTTTTTTGTCAACAAATAAAAAAAATTATGTGTACAATTAGAACTATTTACATAACAATGAGACACGCATATAGCTGTGTTGTGTGTCTGACACAGCCCTAGCTTAGTGTGTCGGACACTCATGTCACTAGGACACAGCCGACACTAGACGCACGTCTGCTCTAGTGTGTGGTCCACCTACTCACCAGGAATGTACGGTTATGAAAAAATGGATTTTAAAACTAAAAAAATAATTATGCTAGAAACAAAACTAAAATCTCTGAATTTTAAAAACATTTTCTAAAAGTTAAAAAAAAAAACAACTAAAAGAGGATAAAATGGAATAAAATATGAATTAAAGAATAAGGTACAGAGATAAGAACTTGCATTAAAATCCGTATTTGTGTAAAGTGATATTTTAGCGTGCCATAAATTTCAAAAATACTTCTTACAATAGTTTAATACTTTTCTATGTACAATACATTTCAATGTGTGTATAAATAATACAAGTTATAAACAAATGGTATATTTACATGATTATTCACATACATAAATTAAACACTAATATTTACAAACGTTACATTTGGGGTTAATTAAAGACGAAAATGTTCTAGTACTTTCTCCAATGAGTGGATCACATTGTGTGATGGATGAGCTAATGTACTATTCTGGAGAGAAATTGTAATTAGAATTTTAGACAACACAATCTAGTTGCAGGACAAGGCAAAACTTAGGAGAGCAGGCTAAATATTTAAATACATTAATTAAAAATAAGTAATCACATTAGTTTAATGACCAATCAGCCCACACGCAGTATAGCGCTACACAGGGGACGCAATCCCAGAACATCGAGCGATACAGGGGACATAATCCCCCCAAATATACCACAGCCACGCCAAGCGAGAAATGGAAAATCAAATTGAATGAATCTACAGACCTAGGGGAGTCTGGCAGACGTGGAAATCAACATCAGACATCACATTACGTCAAGCCCTAGGATAACACCAGGCTCTTTGCCACAGTCTGTGGAGCGTCTCGGTTATTTCCCTTGACGGATTCCCCCATTTTTTATTTATAGTAACTAGCACAGCCAAACGATATGTAGACATTCAAATCACAGGTGCTCGGGTTACAGATAATTAGGCTATAATTAGCATTGTAGCACCATAAGAAAATTGTAATTATGAAATAATCGGAAACATATAAACGACAACAGGGCAGATTAAAAAAAAAGTTTGTAAGGGTCAGCTAATACAAATCTGTTATGAACGGGATGAACTCAAATTTTTCTTTGTTCTAGTTTAAAAAAAAAAAGCTTCAAGTTTTAAAGAGTTGAATCCTGCCACTTTTGGATTAGGTTTTATATTTGACATAAACAAGTTTAAAAAATTTAAAGAATTTTTTTTACAAGAAAATGTTTAACTGTAAAGAAAAGTGGCTAAAGATTTGTAAAAATAAAAAAAGGTTGGCCTGGTTCGTGTTTTGTAATTTCACGTCAGAAACCAAACCCAGGTCACGTGTCACATACGTCACTGTAGTCGTGTCACGTGTCAAACAAAATAACCAACCGGTGTGAAGTCGTCTGAGAAGTCGTCTGGTCCGGCTGGTCAATAAATTGTGGGCCTTAGGGTAATTTTAAATGGTGGATGGTAATCACGGAATTCTACAACAAATTTTTTTTTTTTAAATTCATAAAAATAAAGTTTTGTAGTTATAACAGGACTTAAAACAAAACATAAAAAAAAAATGACTTCAAGTTTGAATGTAACACCTATATAGGATAATATCATTTTTTAAGACATTTGTTGGTATGATGAATGGGTGGATGAAATAACAGAGGGACAATAGAGGAATGTTGGATGTTGGGTGCAGCAAATAACCCTTGTTGGATGATATAACAAAACCCCTGACGTCATGCACAGGATGGAATGCTAAAAATAGAAACTGCATTAGTCTATTATTTTTTTTTACCTAACAGAATAAGAGTGGGTGGGGGGGGGGGGGGGCAGATGTCATGTTTGCGTGATGGTGTAGTGTGTGATCATTTATAATGTATGGCATGCAATGTTGGCACAGTACTGAATCACTCGTCTAGTTGGTTTAGTGCAGATAGAGAAGTTGGTGGAATATGGCGATAGTAGTTTCATATACAAGTTAATTAGAGTTGAAAATGTTGATTAAAGAATGACGTCGTTACAAGTTAAAATTTTAACTAGACAACGATGTCGTTAAAAGTTAAAATTTTAACTAGACAACGATGTCGTTAAACGTTAACATTTTAACTAGACAACGATGTCGTTAAAAAATAGTTTGTTAATCTCCTGACACAGGTCGTCGGCGTTGATGGTGTAGCTACCGGAAGTGGTGGTGGAGTTGCCGTCGTCGGCGTGTGGTCCTATGGTGCTGGCGTCCTCCAGGACCTCATCAATGTCCTGCAGCGAGTAGCCGTCGTCCAGAGAAAGTCTTTTCCCCGAGAGGGTGCTCTGGCTAGGGCCCCGGGCGGAGGTGGGTGGGGTGGGGTTCAGGTAGCTGTTGCCCATGTTGGGGGTGGTGTATTGACGGTTGGCGTTGGCGTAGCTTCTCGACTGGTTGGCCGGCTCGTAGACGGAGAGGTTGGAGTTGTCAATGAACATGCCGTGGGCCGTGGACGAGTCGACGACGGGGATGCGGGATAGGTTGGCGGGGGTCAGGTTGGCGGGGGTCAGTCTGTAAGGCGTGCCGGAAGTGTTCTGATAGAGCCGCAGACGCTGGGCAGACGACGATGGCCGGGGCGGCAAGGCGTCCGAGTTTCTGAGCGGGTCGGCCATGTTGGTTGGTGACGTCACGAGCTTCAAGTCTTTCAGGTACGACGGCGTTTTGGTGGGTGTTCCAGTGTAGGTGTTGTCGTCGTTACACTGGATGGGTGTTTTCAAAGGCGTCCTGTCGGCGGGTGTGGTTTCCTGTGTGGGGCGTGATGGCGTTTGGTCTAGGACGGTGGTGGTGTTGTCTTTCTTACGGGTGGGGGTTTTGTCCGCGAGGGTGCAGCAGCTGGTGCTGCGGCTGGCGCCCACCATCGTGTTGGCGGTGGCGCTGTCGTCGCTGAAGCTGATGTTGGGCTTGTAGTATCCGGCCGTCTCCGACATGCCCAGCGAGTCGGGCATGCTGGGCAGAGTTGTGGCACTTGTCGAGGTGCTCTCCCCCCACAGGCGCTTCCGGGCAGTCTCAGAGCTCAGTGACGTAGACGTTGAGCTGGGCATGTGCGACGTGCCGGAAGTGTTGCAAGACGACCTTGGCGAGCCGAAGGTCATAAGTTTGTTGGATGGTGGGTAGGTAGGAGTGGGACCATGACTTCGATCTAAAAATGGGAAAAAAAATTGAAAAGTTAAAACGGTGAATATCTTAACTAGCTTTAAATACGTTAAAATATAAACTAACCTTATTACAGATAGATTAATTTTTAAACTAGCATAGTAAATGTTCATTTTGTGCGGTTTTACAATATTTTTTTTCGTTTGGCTTTATCCTGCTAGGTGCTAGAGGGTTAAACCGTATTTTCACTTCTCTATATTACCCATCTATCCTGTACTTTTTTTCACACAGAGGAAGTGACCTAATCGTACGTCACTAAGACCCAACTAAATAGACGACAAGGCTATTTCCAAATTAAAAACGTGATTGTTAAGGAAATAGAGAGACCGAGAAAGGGGCGGGGTGGGGTGGGAATTTATCGAATGTTTCAACAGGTATTTGGGGAATTAATTTTTTTAGAGAAAAAAAAACTATAAAAAAATACCCAATAGGTTTTTGGTGAAAGCAACATTTTAAGTTGTTAAAAAACATTTTTTGGACCCCAAAAAAAAATATAACCAGTTTTTATTGCTTATATAGTGTTGTGTAAAGGTAAGTGTGATGTAGTTTAAAAGTTGATGGTCTATATCAAGTAAATAAATACTGGACAAGTCTGTGAAGAGGATATGATGATGTGTATTGTGGATATGAAATATGGGTGTTGTGTTGTAGCTATAAAATATGGATGATGAGTTGTGAATATACAATATGGATGATGAGTTGTGGATATAAAATATGGATTATGTGTTGTGGATATGAAACATGGATGTGTATTGTGTTGTGGATATAAAATATGGATGATGTGTTGTGGATATACAATATGGATGATGTGTATCCAATAGTGTTTTGACGTAGCACACCAAATTAGTGTCGGTCACAGAATATTCCATTAGACTCTAGGTTAGTGCCAGACATTGTCTAAAGGTCAACTGGTCAGTAGACAAACGCACCGTGCCATGCTGGATGCCGGATCACGTGATCTGATAGAATGTTGAATGTTGGACCAAGTTGATAGGTGGGGGTGGGAGGGGGGGGGGGTAGCATGATGGTCATTGTGATGATGATGACGATGACTCATTGCCAAAAGGAAAACATGAAAAAAGTAGGTCACGCGATGCTAGAACGAGGCTATTGGTATGCTGAGCAAAAACAAATAAAAAAAATCTAGCTAGCGAAAGTAAAAGAGCTGATCGTACACTGATTGGAGCACAATATCGATACACATTTGGGGAGGAGAGGGATGCATTAAAGGAAGGGGTAAGGGGTAGGGAAGTAAACAAATAGTTTTTAAAAATTGCTTGTAATTAATCAGTTTTAGTATAAAACGCAATTAGTTTTAATTTAAAAGTTAATATTAAAGTAGTTAAGAAATAATTGGTTAGCAGTAGTGACGTAAAACAACAGGTTGATCTCCAATTGTACACACACATCTATGTTCTAGTCTACAGACAACTACTAGCAGAGCAGACGAACAAGCAGACGTGAGCAGCACTTACCCCCAAACCAGCGGCCTTACACATAGGAGGAGCGACTCACGGCTGAAAGAATCCACACAAGCGTCACGTCATTACACAATTCAAACAAGTTAGGTGGGGTTACATTCTTTAATGTTTAATCAAATTTTGTTAGGTTTTAACTTAAAATTTTGTTAGGTTTTTAACTTACAATTTTGTTAGGTTTTTAACGTAAAATCAGATTTAGTTTGATTTCTTAAAGGTAAAAATCAGCTTTTTCAAAATCAATTTTGGACAAATTAAAATTTGAAATTATTTCGTGTTTAATTTAAAAATTGGTTGTTAGATAGCAATAACATGATAAAATTTGTAATAATACAAAGCTTAAATAAAAAGAGCAAAAACAAAACCAACAAAGAAAGATAAGTCAACAGCGGTGTAAATATTGACACTAACGAGTTGCATGCAACATCAACATAACATGTTATGGTGGTGGAGGGACATATAAATGGAACAAAAATGGTGCCAATACAAAAATAATAGCCAGAAAACAAAAAATAATAAATCTTATAAATGCACACACAGAAGCTTACAAACGATTTAGCTAAATTTGTTTTTCGGAGGAAAGCTTAATGTGTTTTTCAGAGAAAGGCTAAATACATTATTTTTTACGTTCATATGAACTTGGTTTTTATATTTTGTTTTACATTAAATGGTTGTGCTTTTCAGGCTGGGTTGTTGATCTATGTTGTGTTTGTGTGTCGTTGTGGCTGGGTATTTGTTGTTGAAAGTGGTTGCTGTGGTTGTGTATTTTGTTTGTAGGAATTAGTCAAGTTGATGTTGACAATAATCAGAAGCTCGAGAGTTAAAAATAAAATGTTATTAGACACTTTTTTTTAGTAGCAACCAGTTTTATGTTTGCTATCAAATATAGTTTCAAAAATAACAAATATAAAATGACATTTAAGTTTAATTATACAGGAATAAATCGTAGCAAGATGGCAGCAATTATAAAATGTCACGCCATGTACTGTTTTGTTTCGGTTAAAATAAAACGCTGGTCAAGTTTTGACAAAATTTCGTCAGTTTTTCCGACGAATCCCTGACTTTTTGACTGACGTTTTGTTACTGGGGGAGATAAAAATAGATTGGGAGAATACAGAGTGCTTGATCTCGCTGCTCTGCATTAGGGCCGTATTGTTTCTGGGGGGGGGGGGGGGGGGGGCTCTATGGGGGGGGGGCTCTATGGGGGGGGGGGGGCTCTATGGGGGGGGGGGCTCTTTCGCTGAATATCAACTTGTCTTCATGCTAATGATAAAAAAAATGTATGCAAATGTTTGTTGGGTTTTTCTTGAAATCTTTAGCTCAGAGCTTGAGAGTTATCCGACAAGGGGAGGCAAACATGGAGGCCGAGCACAGGAGTAGCATCCCTTGCACCAATGGGAGTATTAGAAAGGGGGGGGGGGGTGACGTTGAGACGGAATGAGGGCGAGTTGATTCCCTTGTCAAGAGTTTGAAAACCGTTAAAGAAATGGAAACGAAACCGGATGTGATGTTACGTAATTAAGCAGATTAAATTGGGCGTTGAGATGGTGGGGGAGGGGGGGGATGGAAGTTTACTTAAGGGGTGGGGGTGGATGGATTAAAGTTTAATTAAGACGATGGGGAGGAGATAGAGAAGGACGCGGGGCGGGCAATGCAAGATGCACTTGTAGTGTTGGATTGAGTTATACAAGGAAATGCGAGATGGAGGATAATACGGGGGAGGGGGAGAGGGGGGACGGGCAAAAATCAAGGAAACAAAAGCAAGATCAAGGCGGCTAAGGTCATCTGCATTAGGTCTTTAGAGGAGTTCATCTCCCCAATGTTTCACGCAGTTGTGTTTGTCAACATTTGATCCCCGCCAATTACAAGAGGAGTTTTCTTTGGGAAATTTTCATAACGAAGTCTAAATATTTAAAGAGATGGGTATGATAGGGGGGCGATGGGGGAGGGGTGAGGACGGGGTAAGATAGAGGAAATAATTATTTTAAGGTTAATGAAAGGTGCAGGAGATAATTATGTAATTAAGATAATAAAGATGTTTTTTTTTATTTGATTGAAAGATGAATATAGCAGAGGATTGTGTTAAGATGGTTAGCGTTGATGGCGTGGGGGGGGGGGGGGGGAGGACGGTCTGATGCTTTGAGCATTGACCTAGGATATTTCTAAACTAATCTTCAAGAAAGTTGTAGGTTTACATTAACCTAGGATAATCTTAAACTAAGCATCAAGACAGTTGTAGGTTTACTATGAGTATGATAGTTGATTTATTGGGAGACGACATTACAGAATTGATTTATACCCCGTGTTTTCTCCTATGTAAATTAAAAGACTAATACTTTAACCCTAAGAAAATATTCAGAACGTACATGATTTTTCTAAGAAAAATGTTATTTCTGTATTGCAGTTTTTACAGTTGGTCTAGAGTTAAGTTCATTTGAATAAGCAATTCATGCAAGCAACACAACTGTTCTATGAATGATTAGTGACTACTGTAGATGCAAAAACCACCTTGTTTGTGGAAGTTGGTGGGATTTGCGTTAAGTTAGAGTGAACATCGAGTATGAGAGTACGGAGGCAAGTCACGGACCGGGGTTTTACAGGGTTTACACCAATGGGGTTCGGGGTTTAAGTTAGCGAGTTGAGGTTAAGTGGTTGGAGCTTTGGGGGGTGTTTGCAGACGGGGGAGGGTAGGGGGGGGTGGGGGATTTCATTTGATGAATTAAGTGTGGTAAAAATGCGGCAACATTTGTGTAAAATGGAGGCTTTGTTTTTTTATAGAGCGAAGTTCCATAAGGGAGAGATGATTTTACTGGAAGTGTTGGCGAGATGTGGAATAATAAAGCGAGATATGGAAGGCGAGTGGTTATGAGATTAATGGAAGGAAAAAGTAAACGATAAAATTAAAGGAGAGAGGTTGGGTTGGATGAGGTTACACAGATGGGAGGGGGGAGGGGTTAAGCGAGAGGTGATGAACTCATCCTTTAAGAAAAGATCAGGGGAAGTCTGATTGCGGGAGGACAAGATGGAGTTATTAGAAAAGACATTGTGTGTGTGGGGGGGTGTGTGATCCAATACCACCCTTATGGATATTATCCAGTGAGGATAGAATTTAATTAATGGCCGCGTCACGCATCGGATGTTGAGTGTGTGAGAGTGCGGTCGGAAGTGCGGGGATGCGGTCAAAAGTCAGCGGATAGCGGTCAGTGTATTGTGGGGGTCCGAGTATTAATGCGATGCAACTCGTGTGTGTGTTTGTGTGTGTGTGTGTGTGTGTGTGGACCTAGGAGGATGGTACCAGGAAGTCCCGGAATGAGATCCCGATTTTTTTTTCTTGGAGACATCTCTAGATCTAGGTTGATGGAAGAAAGTTGGGGGTAGGGGAGGGTCATGTGATTTTTAATTTAGATACGAGACCAAAGACTTTGGAAATACGTGAACACAGAAATATGGATACCGGGTCGTTCAGTGGCGTGGGTCTCTGTTTCTGGTACAGATATCACGATCAAGCTAATTGTATCTAAAGGAGAATCTCAGTTTCTCCACAGAAGATGTGTTTTTTTGGGAATTCTATAGAGATTTCAAAATGTATCTTTTATTTTTATTTTTGTCCCAGCATTTTTTTTTGGGGTCCGCACTCGGCTCAAGATATCCGAGTGAGATTTAAAGATTAATTTGGTTAAAATTCAATCCATGGAATGATTAATGAGACGCGTTAATTACCGATTTTTTAACAGTCCCAGGTCAACAAAGTTAATTTATTCTTTGAATATCTTAAGAAATATTTAAAATATTAAATACTTTTTTTTTAAATTTTGAAATGAAAATTTGAAATATTTTAATGTCCGAGTAAGATGAAGTATCTTTCAGGGTGAAAAAAAATCGATATCAAATTGAAAAGATGTGTTATTGATCTAAATAATTGGAGCAGAATTGGGCGCGGGTCGATTGTTTGCCTAGGTTAAAGCCTTTTAAATGAGAATCCACTTGAAGAAATATTAAAAGGTCACATTTATGGCTTGCTTGTGTCCGGGGGGAAGATTTAAGGGGGACGGGGAAAGGGGGTGGGGGGTGGTGTTAATGTGTGAGATGGGAGACAGCGAGCCACCGGCAGGGAGGAACCGGAAGTTGTGATTGAGGACACTGTGCATGTCAAGGCAAAGGGCGGGTTGGGCTTTTGTGATTTTTGGAAGGAGTTTTAAGAGATCTTTGGCTTATTTCAAAGTTGAGGATAAAATATTTTAAAGTTAAGGATAAAATATTTTAAAGTTAAGGATAAAATGTTTTAATCTCAAGTACTTTCAAGTGCGATTATATAATATGTGTGGGGAGTGGGGGGGGGGGGGTAATTAACAGCCAATATGATAATATAATTTGTGCAGGAAGTTAGTTTAAAAATACAAGAGATATAACGCGTGAAAAAAATAAAACTATTTTCATTCATGAGAGCTTGTTCAGATTTAGAGTGAAAATAAAAACTGTAACGACAAGAAACAAATATGAATAAATAGCGAAACAAAACAAATTAGTAATTAAAGTGTAGCAACGAATAAGCCTATTATTTATATTTACGATAGGAAATTTACTGGAAGAAAGTTAGGCTGAGCATTCTAGAAACATCCGTGGACACAGCGAAACATTGGCAATTTGGTTAGAATAATTTGTACGAACTACAAAGTTTATGTATGAGTTAGCTGGAGGCGAGATAGTGTGTGTTGGGTTTTGGAGAGTTTATGTATGCTGAGGTAGTGTTTTAGATTATGGAGGAGTAGAGATGTGTAATGGTGAGGGGGTTAATAAAGAGAGACTGTAATCGAGATATCGGGAAAGATGTTGCGGCTCTGGAGAGAAAACTCCGGGAATTTTTTTTCTCCGGCGGAGTGATACAAGTAATGAAGAATGATAAGGGTGGTGGTGATGGAAGGGGTGGGCGGGGTGGGGGGATTAGCAGGGGACTTAGTCCAGAACCACAAGTTTATTCTGGAAGGGGGTTAGGAAGCATGGGCTTAAGAGGGGATAGGGTGTGTTGGGATGGACAGTAGGGGGGTGACAGGGAGGGGAGGGGGGGGTGGGGGGTACAAGGTGACGGGGAGCCGGATATTGCGCTGGTGCCGCCTTTTGTCACAAGATCAATTGTCTTTCTGGGTCTGCGAGTTGTCCGGCCCTGCCCGCGAGTTGTCCGTCCCTGCCCGCGAGTGCCAATTAAATTGAGTCTGCATCTTAACAAGGGACAAAAGATTAGTCAACGGTAGTCACGTGATACCAACGGGCAGTCGTGTACCACGTGATCTCTACAGTACCACCCCCCACCCCCACCGACCATGTGATGTTGGGAGAATTATAAAATTAATTAATAATGAAATTCGGCAGTACATGTCGTGGGGTGAGGCACGTAAGGGTGGGGGTGGGTATGGGGGCGGGGATGGTAATGGTGGTGGGGGTGGGGGGTACTCAAATATTTATTTCTATTTCCTATCATCATTTTCTACAGTAATAGGCACCCGGAAACCGGCAATAACTAGCCGGCACTAGATCGGCCGGACAAAGAACATTGACGCTAGCTAACCGGAACTAGCAAAACGGTGTTAACAAGCCGGCAGTACTAAACCGGCATTTAAGAGCCGGCAGCATTAAACCGGCAGTTACACCAGCAAAAAGCCAGAAAATGGCCGACTTTAACACGTCGGGGTTTGTAAGCCAACTGAAACTAGCCGGAAGTAGCAAATACGGCATTAACTTCCGGCACAAGTTGGCCGGCATTAACTTGCCGGTAGAAGTTGGCCGGCATTAACTTGCCGGTAGAAGTTGGCCGGCATTAACTTGCCGGCAGAAGTTGGCCGGCATTAACTTGCCGGCAGATGTTGGCCGGCACTAAATGTAAGACATTTGACGACACCAACTAGTCCATTACAACAAAAGTTCGCAGCAATTTTTTTTAAGGGAAAACTACGGTACATTTATCGAAGTAAATTTATATGGAACTAGCCGTCCCGGCCAGGCCCTGCTCTGGCTTCTGTGAAAAACCTTTCTGTTAAAGACCATTACCTTTGTGTTTAGTAATCATCATAAACCCGGCATTGCCCACCCAAACCACAACCAACCAAAACAACAAAACGCAAACATAACGCTAACACAATTACAAATACAAACGAAAACAAAAACCTAACAACAAACCCAACCACAAACACCAATACCAACAAAAAAAAAAAAAAAACAACGAAAAAGCAAACGAAAACAAACCAAATCCAAACGCAAAACCAACCAAAAACACAAATACAAACCCAAACAAAAAAACACAAACAAAAACGAAAAAAGAAAGAACAAAAACGAACCAAATCAAAACGCAACCACTAACGCAAACCCACCTAAACACAAAGAAAACACAAACGCGAACATAAACGCCCGGGGCGGAATCACCTGTTTTAGCTTAATGAACGACTATAGTACCCCAACTTATTCATAGTCTTTTGCACTCACTTAAACGAACGCGCCTGTTTCAATTTAATGAACAATTTTAATACTCCAAGCTTATCCGTAAAATACCTACAACATTTGCACTTGATCAATCCCCGCTAATTATGTAATTATTTTTTTTTCCCAACACCAAAACAAAGTAATTAAAAAGTAAATTATTTTCCACAAAATGCAATGGTTTTATAAAGGGAAGTAATTTTGTTTTCCTAATTTATCAAAGGGAAGTAAGTGCTATAGGACTAAATAAAGACATAATTAGAATTTTTGTAAAAGATGATATTTTTTTAAAACTTGTGTTTAATGAACATGCCGACAATTATTACTGTAATTTGAAAAATGAAAATTATTTCCCAACACTTTCAATAGTAATTTTTTAGCTCATAAATTTAGACAAATGCGCACGATAATTTTCTAACACTTAAATTCATCCAAGACCAACGACAAACATATGCGTTACATACAGAACTGAGCTTTATATATTAGATAAATACTTGGTTAACCACATCTGAAAAGATACAGTTAGAAATATTTTTTAAACTTTGAAAATTCTAATTTTGCCAATGTAACTTGCGCCACAAATCTTTATTTTTAAAACAAAAACCTGCGTACTTTTAAGATTTCAATGTCGGGAATTAATGCGAAATTTATTTACAGCTAAAGACCTTCCCGGAAGAAAACAATTATTGTCTTTCTCCCTGCGACTCCATTAAAAAAGAAAGCCTTTTAAATTGTTCCACGATTTTCTAGTCAGGTCCATTGTGAGAGAAAGGAAAAAAATGGCGTACTGAAACTCGCAACCGGCTTCCGGTCTACTAATGAATTTTGACCACGTTCTGGCCATTTCCGATATTGTTTTTAGGCTGCAATTTCTGCCGGCTCAAAGTGGGGGTTTGATTGACGGATGGGACAGACGGAGATCAGATGCGTCTTACAGCGTCAGATGCGTCTTACAGCGTCAGATGACGCAGCATCATCAGAACGAGGCTGGCCGATTGCTGTTATTAGAGGTAGATAGAGAGTGGATTGGAGAGAACGGGCGTCTTCATTTGCGGTATTAGAGTTGAGCTTTCTTTTTAGAATAGATATGATCGTAAGGGGAGAGAATCGAGGACAGTTGAGATAAAGGGAGATAAGGTTGAAGCGGGAAGAATATTTTTTGGGGTAATTTATTTATTTCTTTATTCAGGTGTTAGTTCTCGAACTTATTTTCTTTTACGTTAATACAAATGGCGCGGAAGTTTAAAAATGCAACGTAGTTCGTAGAGTCTATGCTTTAAAATTAATTTTTTTTTTTTGAGAATTTTGTTATTTTTATGCAATCGCCACAAAAAAAAAAAAAAAAAAAAAAAAAAAAAAAAAAGTGAAAAATGAAAATAAAATGTGTATGAAGAAATGTCAACCAAAGCTAGTGCGTATAGCAGGAAGTGAAGTCAAATACAAATGAAATAGAAGGTGAAAAGGGAGATGACTGATACTCCGATCTCGGTCATAAAACCGCTTGGTCCACAGAGGGTTAAACAAAGGCCGGTAAATCTTCCCTACTTTGAAATGCGGTTATAAATATTAACATCACTTTAACATAAGCATAAAGGGTTAAGTTGCTGGTGAATGGGGGGATCTGTAGACGATTGAAGAGCACTTGGTTAGACAGCTTTGAATAGGTAATGTGCATTGATTGTCTCTAGCAATGTTGTGTATGAGATTTTAATTTGTAAAAAAATATTTTAAACAGGAGGTTAGAAGACTGGGGTACACAATGTAGGTATAAAAAAAAGGTTGACAAACACCGAATCAAAATGCAACAATGATCATTCCAAAAGCGGGAACAAGTTTGAGAATATTTTTTTTTTCTCGTAGAGAAGTGTCCGTTGTTATGTCAGTCAGTACTCACCATTGTCTCCGATCGCCACGACGACGGCGTGGGCCGGGCCGTGACCTTCACCTTCCTCGCTGGAGCCCCCGCGCCCACTGTCGCTGGTGGAGCCCGAGGAGTGGCTGGACGAATCCTCCACGGACAACTTGATGACCGAACTCCGGGGCGACTGCTGGAGACAGAGGGTCAAGGTCATTCAAATCACACACTGGGGCCTGACTTTAAAAAATCTAATCAAGTTACTGGTTCATCTTTGCTGAAGACTAAACAGTTCCATATAGAATTCTTCCAGGAATTATTTTACATTTATGTCAAACTGAGACTTCGTTTTAATTTAATTTAATTTAATTTTGATTCGACACTTTGAAATTACAAAGTATAAAACCTTGGAATTAAAAAATAAAATGTTTGAATAATAATCTCATTGTTGCAGTTGTTTTGAATTCTATAAAATGTAAGTTATAAAATAAAATCCTGCCTGCTTTTGCCTTAAAAAATTCTGAATATTAAAATTTTAAATTTTCTAAAAAGTTCTGCTTTATTATTCTGACAGATTATTAAATAATTAAAATATAATTCCGTGTTAAATTGCTTAAGGACCTTTGATTCATATTTTGAAGAGTTATTCTTAAAGTACCGCGTGTTTTAAAATACACAAAAAACAACTTTAAACTGCTTTCAAATACAACGCTAAGATATCGCTAAGATATCGTGAGACTTGTAACAAATGAGAATTTATAAAAAAAGTCTTGTATGATTGATAGGCCTAGAGCAAGATTTCACAAAAGTTCTGTTTACAATATGTGATGGATAGGAAGGATTTTACAAGCAGTCAAAAATGTTTCATTCTGTTTACAATTTCCTGTTAGAATATCATTTAATGTTCGCACTTTTGTGTTGAAATCAATACCGTTATCTGGGTCAGTTAGTTTTGGGTTACTTTTTAATTAATGAACACCGTGGTAGTCTAAAATATTGGATGCTACAGACATTGTTATAAGGAAAATAAATAATTGAATGTTTAGAGGTAAAAAAACAGCCATACATAGCCATATAGTTACTGCACAAAGCAAATAATGAAAGCAAACATCGATATTAAAACTGACTGCCCTGAAACAATAGCAAGAAGCAATATTTAAAGCAGTTGATTTTGATGGTAATGAAAGGTTAATTCTAGCATGCACACGTATGGTGATGGGTGTGGGCTGTCTTAAGATGGCTGTGGGCTGTCTTAAGATGGGTGTGAGTTGTCTTAAGATGGGTGTGGGCTGTCTTAAGATGGCTATGGGCTGTCTTAAGATGGGTGTGGGCTGTCTTAAGATGAGAAGGGTGTGGGTATGATTGTGTGTCTTAAGACATGAGATGGATGTGGGTACAGTTGTGTGTCTTAAGACTTGGTCCAGACACACGACTGTCTTATCGCCTGCCCCTATGTGGATCTGATCGATTGGTTGCTTTTAATAAAGACCGCGGCCAGTGCTGGGCATATTGTACTTTATTACAGTGGTCGCTGCTCGACCAGATAACTGCCTGTAATGGACTTTTATCATGACGTGCCGGAAGCTGAAAGAGGTTTTCCGGCTTTTATTTTCAGGACTTTTTTCTAGAACTTGCTATAGAACTTTTTATAGAACTTGCTATACAACTTTTTATAGAACTTGCTATAGGACTTTTTATAGAACTTGCTATAGGACTTTTTATAGAACTTGCTATAGAACTTTTTATAGAACTTGCTATAGAACTTTTTATAGAATTTTTTTTTTTTTTGAAAAGAGAAATGTGAACTTTATGAGCCTAAGAATGCTAGTGAAGAATGCGTAGGAATACAAGGTAGAGTTTTAGATATTTTTATTTTTTAGTGTGTTACGAGGAATACTGTCTTATGTGTGTGGAGTTTTGGGAATAGGGCCTACTGTCGTGTTTAGATAAATAGGGTTAAAGTAAAAAGTTATGAAAATAAATACTCAAAGTTTTATCAATCACACAAGAGATAAATAAATACCGTGGGGAAGTTGTGTAAGTTAGTTTCAAACATTGCACGTTATATTTGATACAAACAAGACCAGTTTTAACCTGGTAGTTTAGCCAAGCATGGTGTTACATATGTTAATGGTAGTATCATATTATCGTCATATCATGGTTTCTTTCAGGCATTTTTCTCCGGGGGGGGGGGAGGGAGGGGAGGGGTGTCACTTCAAAATTTAAGGGGTTGGTTCAAACTTATTAAAGTATGTATGTTCTATTAAAAAAAATATTGGGGCGGGGTGCAGAGAGATGCATGAAAGAAACACTGACTTCAAAGCGTTTAACAGCTGACATGTGATATAAGAGAGAGGAGTCTCATAAAGAGTCACAGCACCCAGTGTTAGACAGTGGAGTCAGAACAGGGTGGAGGGTGAGGCAGCATTAAAGAGATAGCTTACCCCACGTCCAGCTGACCAGTGTCCACCCCTGACTGAGTGATAGCCCAGCGCCTGGCTCCGTGGGGGTGGGGAGGTCGTGGTCATTCTGTCAATGTCCAGACCCTTGTCCATGTAATGGACCCTCTTGACATTGCCCTCCGTGGGTGAGAGGGTGTTGTGGAGGACGGAGGAGTGGGCTTGTGGTGACTGGGGAGGAACAAACAGATATTTGTTAGCATATTGGAAGCTTTCATTAGCATATTGGAAGCTTTCATCAGCATATTGGAAGCTTAGCGCGTTAGCATATTGGAAGCTTTCATTAGCTTATCGGAAGCTTGACAAAATAGCATATTGGAAGCTTGTGGTGACTGGGGAGGAACAAATAGATATTTGTTAGCATATTGGAAGCTTATCGCGTTAGCATATTGGAAGCTTAGCTTGCTAGCATATTGGAAGCTTAGCGCTTTAGAATATTGGAAGCTTAGCACGTTAGCTTATTGGAAGCTTGCAGTAGCATATTGGAAGCTTAACACGTTAGCGTATTGGAAGCTTGAAATAGCATATTGGCATTAGCATATTGGAAGCGTGCAGTAGCATATTGGAAGCTTGGCTTGACACGTTGGCATATGAAGGTTAATTAGAACGCACACTTGTACACATTTTATAAAATGATGTACATGTTTTCAGTCCAAAAGTTAAAACACTAACCTTAACAAAAATCCTTATTCTACATCTAAGCCAACAGTTATTTCATTTTCATATTTTCATACTTTGAAGCTAAGCCAAAAAATGTATGTTTCCCTACAGACTATCATACTAGAACCATTAGGTTCCCATTGCAGTAAATATTTATGGGGCACTTGGATTAATTGGGTCTTTAATTAATTGGGTATGTTTTTATGTGACTCTTCTACCATCATCAGAAGGCTAAGCAAGAATAGGTTTAGCTCACTGAGCTAAAGCAAAGCTCACCGAACCTAAACACAGGTTTATCTCACAGAGCTAAAAAAACGAGTTGAGAATAAAAAAAATCTAGGCCATCCACGTGAATCTGCAGGCTCTAAATTAAGGAGCTTCACACCGGAAGTAATCAGGGGCGAGCAGCAAGGAGAGTTAAGTCCCCTGAAGGCGGTTTTATATAAATGTAGATCAGCCTTGATGAGAAGTCAAACACTCCACCGGATGTGACGTCACGTGTGTGCCTTCTCTCGCCATTCCCCCCCCCCTCCCCCTCAACCACATGAAAGAGAACTCATCCAAAGAGAAACACTTTCCAGTTATCTCCCCCTAGTAAATTGTTCCCATTTTTGTCATTTCCGACTTAAGCTCCCCCCCCCCCCCAGCCCAACCAAAGGACGACTAAAGTCTCCCCCAAAACGGCCCCCCAAGCCTATGACAATAAACAGTGTTTAAAAATTGATTTCGGTCAGCTTTCATCAAATAGTTCCGGTTGGTTCAGGATAATGGGAGAAGAACTAACTCAACAACTGGTGTTTGTGGGTAGTGGTGGTGGGGGGGGGGGTTGTGTGGCTAGGAGTGAGGGAAGGGGTTGTTACAACTGGCTCAGATAAGACCCCCATGAATGACCCCCTAAATGGCTGGGAAAAGACCCAGGTTGTGTATCAACAGGCAACACGGCGTGGGTCAAAGGCGAGCTGACTTTTGAATTCTTTGGTCAAATATTTACAGAGGATGGACTAAATGACCCCTGGTTACACACACGGCTTTACGTGCTGGTAACGGTTCTGTGGTGGGCTGGTGGGGAGGGGATTGGTCGAGAGTTGTGTGCGTCGTTGTGGACGTTGTTGTCTTGTGTGCGTCGTTGTGGACGTTATCGTGTGCGTCGTTGTGGACGTTGTGTCTAGAATTGTGTACGTCGTTGTGGACGTTTTTGTCTTGTAAACGTAGTTGTCTTGTAAACGTAGTTGTCTTGTGTACGTCGTTGTCTTGTGTACGTCGTTGTCTTGTGTACGTTGTTGTCTGAAGTTGTGTATGTCGTTGTCTAGAATTGTGTACGTCGTTGTCTAGAATTATGTACGTCGTTGTCTTGTGTACGTCGTTGTCTTGTGTACGTCGTTGTCTAGAATTATGTATGTCGTTGTCTAGAATTATGTAAGTCGCTGTCTTAAGCTTTGTACGTCGTTGTCGTTGTGTACTTCGTGTGATTCAGTAATCCTATAGAATATTTTTATCATAATTTACTAAGGTATATTACAAAATTAGAAATGACAATTCCATTGCGAATGTTTAAATAAATCTACTATTATGTATAACCATGTCCCATTTGATTATCTTATAATCTACACATAACGCTTACACAAATTATTTTTCTTTCATTGATTCTCATTGGTTTATACTTTAAGAAAATGTTACACAAATAGAAATGTTTTTTAAAACTATTTCAGGTCGGGGCAAGGAGATTTGATTTAAACAAGGTTTTTTCCTCCGCATTTTTTCATGACATAACCCAAATATCCTGGGAGAGATAGGGTCTCTTTCATGGGGTTGGGGGTGGGGGAGACATGGAAGAGGACGGGGAGGGTTATTGTGGAAGGGGGAGTGCTGTTGATACTGGGGGGGGGGGGGGGGTTGTGCGGCGGGTCAACAAAAATATTGCTCGCTGTATCTTTGACGGGGCATCAAATCATTTTTTTTCTAATAGAAGAGGTGTGTGTTTGTTTGTCTGTCTGTATGTATGTGTGGTGGTGGGTGGGTGAATCGTGGTTTCACTTTGTTTTTTTAAAAGATGTATTTAGTTGATTAGAAATTTATAAAAAAAAATAAAGATGCATTTTACAAAACGAGTTTCTGTGCAAAAATTAAAATATGTATGTGTGTATGTATGTGTGTATGTATGTGTGTATGTCCCTCGACTGAATAGGAAAGCGAATAATTTGGGAGATTGATTGAAGAAAGGGGGGGGGGGCAGCTTGATTAGAAAACCAATCATCTCCTCCAGACTGGTCATTTTTAGTTTTTTAAAGTTTCCTGACGCAAACGTTTAGTAAAAACGTCATTTATGTGACGCAGACATTTAGTAGAAGCGTCAGCTATCGGAGCTTAGGAAATGGATCCTTAGAGCGTTCCGATAATTAGATCATCGATTATTAGAGCTAATTAGTTTTCCCAGTTTGTGTTTCAAGTGGTAATTCAACACGACAGCCGGTGGCATGATGTTAAAAGGGCAGGGGATCTGAAGAAAATGGCGGACGGCCAAGAAGAAAATGGTACTTTAAATGTTAAATCCAAGAGTCTGGGGGGAAGGACGTGCTAGGGTTTAAGTTAAGATTAGCGTTAGAGCTGGGGTTTGGTACCGTGTTGGTGATGCTGAATTAAAGAGTTGAATTACTTGAGTAGTTTTGTTTTTGGGTACAGGAAGATATACACGTTTTTTTTTTAAACAGTAGGTTTTGGTCTAGCCACTGGTCAAGCGTATACACTCTGGAACTAGTCATTGGTCAAGTGTGTACACTCTGGAACTAGCCACTGGTCAAGTGTGTACACTCTGGAACTAGCCACTGGTCAAGTGTATACACTCTGGAACTAGCCATTGGTCAAGTGTGTACACTCTGGAACTAGCCACTGGTCAATCAAGCGTGTACACTCTGGAACTAGCCACTGGTCAATCAAGTGTATACACTCTAGAACTAGCCACTGGTCAAGTGTATACACTCTAGAACTAGCCACTGGTCAAGTGTATACACTCTAGAACTAGCCACTGGTCAAGCGTGTACACTCTTGTAACTAGCCACTGGTCAAGCGTGTACACTCTGAAACTAGCCACTGGTAACGTGAGTATATAAAGGATCTAGCAGAACACTAACGTGTTTTTAATGTGAATATCCATTAACCCTTAAGGCGCGGTTATACTTGAGCCTGTTGTATCATCACAAGAGCAGTGGCGTCATATTAACTTTGTTTACCCACAGGATTTGAACCGGCATCTTCAACATGAGAGGCGAGCAGCTAGCTCATCGATCGGACGGTGGTTGCATAAAATCAATAATGGTTTACGGACTTTTTCTATTGATCAGCCTAATATAACGCAAAGCTTTCACGTTCATGGTTAATAATTCTTCTAAGGTCCTTATTACCGCCCCTTATTTTAATAAATAGATAAAAGATTTTATTATATGTTTATTAAAAAGATAAAGATAAAAAAACATTTTCTCATTAAGTTCGTTAAGAATTAACTCCCCTCCTTACATAAACTAACACATCCTCTCTCTACCTGCGGTATAAATTAGTCAATACACGTAATTTTTTAATTTGCTGTTGTAATTTTTGTGCAACCCCCTCCTCCCCCAACCCTGCTGTGTAGGGATTGAAGGTGGTGATTATCTAATCGTCTGCCAAATTAGTGGCAAATCAACAAGCAATGCTAGGACGTGGCTTGTTTAAATAAGGACACGTGTTCTGCCAACCGACCAATCAATACCTGATCCCACATGTACCGGTTCGGTTAGGTGATGGGACACTTCCGGTAGGATATTTGGTGGCCAGATGTTCATAGAACTGTCCTGTTCATATTTTCATGGGAACTGTCCTGTTTATATTTTCATAGAACTGTCGTGTTCATATTTTCATAGAACTGTCGTGTTCATATTTTCATGGGAACTGTCATGTTTATATTTTCATAGAACTGTCGTGTTCATATTTTCATAGAACTGTCGTGTTCATATTTTCATAGAACTGTCCTGTTCATATTTTAAAGAAACTATCTTGTTCATATTTTAAAGAAACTATCTTGTTCATATTTTAAAGAAACTATCTTGTTCATATTTTCATAGACGTGTCCTGTTGTAATATCTCTCGTTACTGTGCTGATGTTTGATGTAATGTAGGGGGGGGGGGGGGGTGATAAGGAAAGGATGAAGACCAGTGCTTGTTATTTGAAAGTGCAGATTTTGAAAAAAAAAAATCGATCTACGTGGTGTTCATTTGATTTATTGCGATGTATCGAAGGGAGGGGTGTAGGACGGGGATGGGCATGATCGAAAACCTCAAAATGTAACACGGGACAGCTGGTTAAATGTTTTCATTCCGTAGATTTTAAAGTTGAGATGTAGGACAAACACTCTAGCTCGGGTACAATACCCCAATGGTCGGGTACAATGCCCCAAATGTCCGGGTACAATACCCCAAATGTCCGGGTACAATACCCCAAATGTCCGGGTACAATACCCCAAATGTCCGGGTACAATACC